TACGTTTTAGTGCGTTTTAATATTATATAATTAAATATTAATAAACGATTTCGTTCTTACTATCACTAATTGTCAACGTTGACCGGTCGACGTTGACTGGTCAACGTCCGCCCGGGCTGGGTTGGCAGGCTGGGTCCGTCCCTGGTCTTTGCCCCATTTATCGCCGCATTTATTTATTTATTTACTTTTATTTTTTTAATCTTTATAGCTTGTTTGAGCCTTTTTTTGTCTGAAATGCATTTTAAAATAGTGATTTAATAGAGAATGTTTTGTTAAAAAATAAGGAAAAGTTGAGTTTGCATGTAATATTATTTTATTTAAGAATATATGATTGAAAAAAAAATGTATTTTAAAAATAATGAGATACGTAAATATTATTATTGTTGTTGTTGTTATTTATTTATTTATAATTTGTTAAGAATAACTAATTTTATCTTTAAAAATGATAATAAATCTTTTCTTTTTGTTTGATAGATAACTTATATTTGAAATTAACTTTACATGGGACGTGTAGCAGGGAGGGGATCGTGTTTCCCATACTTGTTTCATACCCGTTTCGGGGCAACAATCTCATTCCTATTTACCCGATTAGAGAGTAATTCCTATACCATTCGAGACGGGAATCGTTGCTATTTGGTTTAACTGATTTTTGCCATCCCTAATCCCTCAACTTAAAAATGGAAGTTACTCGCTCATCCCTGCTGAAGCTTCCGCTGGCACAACTTTCGATCATTGTAATTTTTAGGTTTGCATTGGTAATATATATTACATTACTTTACGTTGATATAATATTGCATTAATTACAAAGATTTTGATTGTAAATGATATTAAAATTATTGCCATCGAATTACATGTAATGGAATAGGACGTTGATTTACATAATTCTGATATTAGCTAAATTGATAGAAGATTTCAGGTTAGATTAAAATATGATTCTTGTAATTTAGGTTTGACAATATTACATTGATTTACATTAATGCGTTATTACTTGAACTGATTCAAGATTCCTCACGTTACCTATAGAATATAGATTTTGGTTTGAACGTTATTCTTTAGAAATCAATTTTTTTAAAACTCATTTTCAATCACACATTCTTTCAATAAAATACTTTTACTCATAAACCTTAATTTTTTTTTTTCCACTTTTTAATCACTCATTCTTCACAAATTACATTTTGCAGATATATTCTTAAAAATTGAGGTACAAACAGTGGCATACAACGAATAGAGTTGTGAATGGATCAAATCTGCACATATCTGATCCGATAATTCAACGGATATTTGATTGTTAAATCTATATCCGATTTGCTATGTAATCGGATATCTGATCCGAAATTAAAGGAATTATGAAGATGAAAGTTTTATATTAGTCAACTTCTAAATCCTAGAAGGCCCAGATACATTTTTACCCAATTCTTGGCCCAAGAATTTATAGATTGCAAGTTGTGTGATATTTTAGTGAGTATCCGACGTGAAAATTTAGGAACAATGAAATCAACTCCAATTGTTGTCCCCTTTTGGTTGTTTAGTTTCTAAAATAAATTAATTATTTTTTAAATCTTATTTTAATTAATAAAAAATTTAATACTCTCCAAGTATTTCAATTAACAATATTACATTGTTATCTAATATTATTTATTATTTGAAAATTGTGTATAAAGTATAATACAAGTTTCAAAATGACAAAAAAAATTATGTGTAATAAATTATACGATAATATATAAAATATATTATATTATTATAGCAAATCAAATCGATTTGAAACACTTACCCAGAATTTTAAGATACCCAATTCAAAAATTAGATTTAAAGATTTTTTTTTTCAAAAATCATATACTTATTCATCTTTTAATATTAATAATAATATTATAAAGTTAAATTAATTAAAATACCCAAATTCACTCCATCTCACTCCTAAACCCTAATTTTTTTCCTCTATATTCTCTACACTATCTCTTCTCTATCTAGCAATTTCCTTGTTCTCCGTCTCTCTCCTATCTTTCTCATCCCTTTCTTCATTCTCTCTATCGGCGACGTAGCTGCGCACCACCACTGGTAAGTGGTCAATACCCACAATCGTCGTCGTGTACCACCACCGCCTCTACTTTATCTCTTTCTCCCATTCTCCTCTCATCTCCCTCCTCCATCCTCCATTCGTGACGACAGCGTGTGGCACTATCGTCGCGCGAAGTGGCCTTTGATAGTCGTTGCGTGTGGCTCGAAGCGACACCACGCTGTTGTGGTGCTGTGCCATTGCGTGCGGCACTTACAAGTTCCACCGTCGGTACACTATGCAGGAAGTGCAACGTATTTCTATTTCCCTGAACGGCACTTTCCCTTTGTTTTTTCCTCAGCTGCGGTTGCGAGGTTGGATAGTTGGTCATATTCTTCAATTTGATATATTTTAATTAATGTCTATTAGATGTTCCCTCTCCACCATTTTTTCTGGCCTTTTGCTTTAACTGTTCAAAGTTCCAAACTTATGGTACCTCTCTTAGATGAACAAACTTCTACAGACACTACTACTATTCTTTGTATTCTGTTTGTAGACCGTAGATGCCCTGCCCTTGTGGTGATATATCATATATCTGGTGGGTTTGGAGGAGAGCCTAAGCTTGTCCAGCAGAATTAGAATGGAGGGGGCAGAGAAGGGTAATACTGAGAAGGGGCTGTGGGCTATAATAACTGTAAATTTATTGTGGTGCATTTATAAAAATACATATTTTAATTATGGTGCATTTAGTTTACAAATGGGTGTAGTAAACAAAGATAAATTGATGAACTGTTAAACATGATTGTAAATTCCATGTTTTGTTGTTATTACCTCAATACAATGCACGCACTCGCAGAAACATGTTTTTCTATTTACACGTAATTAAAAATTTAGAGGATTGTCTATGTGCTTAATTAATTTTCGGTTTCTCAATGGCGGTAAATCTGAATACTTCGAATTTTTGAGGTTTTATTTGCATTGTTAATGAGTAATATCTTTGACTTTGGATGTTTAAGTTTGGTTCGTTGAATTCTCATGTTAGGTTAAGAAAGTGTTTCTGGGATATACCGGAAGGGTTCTATTGATTCAAAAGCATAACCAGTTAGTCCTGTAATTCTTCTGAGGTTTGCTTATGGCTGGTGAGGATAGCTCTTCCTATCATAAGGGTGGAAAGCAAAAGAAAATGGGCAGAAAGGCCAAGGAGGAATATACTGGAACAGGTCAAAAAGTTTCAAAGCACCAAAATTCCTCAGTTTTACAAGCATCATTTGTCAGGTTTTTGATTCCTTTTGATTCTTGATTAGCGGTCTAGATCCGTGTTATATTACGTATGTTCATGTGTTCAATATAAGCAAACTTTAATGCCTTAGAAATTTTGATTTTAGAAAACAGGTTGACCCAGAGATGGCAAAATACTTTGCGGAGATTGCAAACGTTATAGAAGGTACTGAGATTGAGTTGGAGGAGCGGATAATCATATGTGGTAATGCCTTGGAAGAGACTAGAGGGAAGGAAGTGGAACTTGCAACTGATTATATCATAAGCCATACTTTGCAAACTCTACTTGAAGGCTGCTCTGTGGACGGCCTTTGTGGTTTTCTGCGAAGCTGTGCAAACAATTTCTGTCAAATAGCTATGGATAGATCTGGTTCTCATGTAGCTGAAACAGCTCTGAAGTCTTTGGCTTTGCACCTTCAGGAGGATAACGAGATTCACTCCCTCATTGAAGAGATGCTAAGTACATTATGCCAGGTACCAGTTACTTGAAATGCAGATGACACTATATTTTATGGACAGATTATGCCAATTTGGATGTTCGCTGCGGAACCTGGGTAGCTTGATAGTCCCCTTGGTTTACTTTTTCTTTGCCCTTTTTTATCAATTTCTTTATGCAAGTTCATTCCGTTGCAAAATATTCATTGCCATTAATAATGACAACGCAACTTTATTGCCCTTTTTTTTTCTGCTTTCCTTCCTTTCCTTACAAATAGTGAAATAAAGTTGCATTTTGCATTAGGATTTGAAGCCATATGGATAATATTTACAATATTCAGTTGATTTGTTTCAGCTCTGTGTTTTAAGTAGTGAAGGAAGGTATTCTGTATGCCAAATGGTGTCTGAGAAGTTGCTTTACTTCTATTTTTTCTACCTATGCTTGGTGGAGTAATATGGATACTTATCTCCTCCTACCAGGAAATCGTGGTAAATCCTGTTGATATAATGTGCAACTGTTATGGATCTCATGTTATGCGGAGCCTTCTGTACCTTTGTGAAGGACAAACCTTAGGCTCATCAGAGTTCCACAGCTCAAAACCATCAGTTCTGCTGGCAGAACGTTTGAATTTGAGGTCTTCTCAGTTGGATGGTCATAAATTGCAACATCATCAGAAATTTCCAGATCAATTAAAATTTCTTGTATCAGAGATGTTAAACCCTTCCAGGGTCGACATAGCACCTCTTCTAGTAAATCAATACAGCAGTTTGGTTCTGCAGGCATGTTTTCTGCCTTTTAAACTTCTCATATTGATTTGGTATCTTAACTTGTAGTTCTTGGAAATAAAGCTGCAAGCTTTTGCACACGTGTTTGTTTAGAACAAATTTCTATTTATATAGTCAACCAGTTTCACATCTTTAATCTCTAAACGTAAGTGGATGTAGAAGTTTTTCTATATTTAATGATATGCATGTTTCTTCTGATACAACAGTCATATGCGTGCCATGTTGAAGACTGCTTTCTTAAATAAAATAAACAGAAAAATGGTGCTGATATTATATTAATTGTGATGCTTTGGCCCCCTTATGTGGTCTAATTGATGATGAGTTAAATTTATTCAATGACAGACTGCTTTGAAATTATTAGCTGGACATGAACAGGAGTTGCTACATGTAATTCCAGTCCTTCTTGGTTTCAGTACTGAAACTGGCTCGGGGTGGAACTTTATAAAGGCGAGTGAAGTAAAAAATATTCTAAGTTTAGTGGAAGAAAATGCATACAGTCATTTAATGGAGGTGAGATCAATTTTTTCTGATTCCTCCCGTTCTGCATTTATTTTGTTGTTAGTAATGTTTTGAACAGTCATTTCTTTCCACTGTTGATTTGAAGATTCCTTTGAACTTGTACAATATTATTATATGCTTTAATGGTTTTTTTATTTTCAATGGCTTTTCACTGAGTTCAGTTGATCCAAGCAAAGTTGAAATTGATGCACCAAAGGGAAGTGTAATTTGTACGTAACTTGGGAACAAGTTTGAACAAATTTAGAGTTGGTCATTTGCCTGTCCAAACATTGACCCCCTGTTTGACAACCATTAAAACAGAATTCTTTTTGTTCACAAACTCATTTTCAATCGCACATTCTCACAATAAAATATTCTGCATGTAAAATGAAAACTTTTTCCTACTTTTTAACAACAAATTCTCTAAAAAAACGAACTATTCCAAAACTTGTTTTCCCCAAAATACTTATTTTAACCGTCAAACAGGGTCTGAATATCTGTTAGCTCTGCTTTCTACAATCATGAAACTAAAACCAAAATTAAGGGTCATCTACTACAGGTCTTTGGTAATCTAGCCTTGTTTATCTCTTTGTCCTCAATTCAAATACCTTACCAAATGCCAAATGGCACAACAACAGATGGCACGCATTAGCATCACAAAACCAGAGAATATTTGTGATTATGTAGAAGGAATGGAACAAAGTGTCACTCTGTCATTTGCTCTTTTCATTGGTCAAAGTATTTGCCATTTCCTATTGCAAGTAACAATTTGTACACGCATAAATTAGCAAGAATTTGTACCATTTTTCCACTTATCTGGTGATGCTCTTCTGTACACTGTATCGATGGCTTCTGTGCTTTGAACTTTGGGAACCGCTTTGCAGGTCATCTTGGAAGTGGCTCCTGATAACTTATTCGATGAATTATTCACAAAAGTTTTCAGGGGTTCTTTATTTAAGATGTCGTCGCATCACACTGGGAACTTCGTTGTACAAGCATTGGTTTCCCATGCAAGAAGTCACGATCATGTATGTCCAGTGAACTTTTCTGTGTAATCTATTTTTTTTAATTATAGGAAACCATCTTATGTGATTTTTTTTTTTCCATATTTATGAGGGGGAGAAGGTAGGTAAATAAGGCAATTTAATCTTATGAATTCCTGGGTTTGGGTGTTTTGACTTCAACTTAAGCTGCTTCAAGCAAAAAAGGGTGAACCCCTGTTCAAACTGAAAGAAGTAACTCGCACATTCACAAAGTGTGAAAGCTACTTACTACAAGTTTTATGTCCAATATTGGTTGCTAATATCTTATGGAACAATGATAGATGCACCATACGCTAGTTCTTGGTTCGGTAACCATGATATGCAATTGATCAAATGAAGGCAATTGATGATGGCTTGACTCATTGTACAATCTAATTTCTTTTTGTGGAGTCTAGATAAAGTCAATTTGGGAGGAGCTCGGTACAAAATTCAAGAATCTTCTTGAAATGGGAAGGCCGGGAGTCATTGCATCTCTTCTTGCTGCAAGTCAAAGGCTTCAGACCCATGAACATAAGGTTTGTAACTACTCATTATCATTTGAAATTCTTGAACTTGAACATCCTGTAAAGTTTTGCTAACGTAGAAAAGCATTCCGTTTGGTGGAGCAATTAATGTAATTTTTTTTTGGCATTTAATTTATATTTATTATTCAAGTAATTGGAATGGCCTTTTGGCTATAATTTGGGGGAAGGATTGGTTTGTGTCACCTGTTTGCTCTAAAATTATGAATTTTTTTCCCTTTTACGTTTTTCATCCCTAATCTTGGACTATTGTGGATGACAGTGTTGTCAGGCCCTTGCTGCTGCTGTACGTTCGGAGAATGAGTCTACCGCATGCATTGTATCACGGATACTCTTTCTTGATAGTTACTTCTACTCTGAAGATAAGGACAGCTGGAATTGGCCAAATGGTGTTAAGATGCATGTTCTTGGTTCATTGATTTTGCAATCAATTTTTAGACTTCCAAATGTATGCTGCTTTACTGGCGTTTGTTTTAACATTTCTAATACAGGAGAAAATTGCAATAGATTATGTTGCTTCGTTATGTGCTAAATCATCTGAGCAAAATATGTTTTTGACTGTTAAAACTTGTTTGTTTAGCCTTGCAATGAAACTTATTCAACTGCCTAAGAGAGAATTTAAGAAAGCTAATATCATGTTTGCTAAATAACTAAATTGAAGAACTGGTCCTACACTGACCTGTAGTTATGCCACTGAATTCTTACAAGCAGAGTTTCTTTTGGTTTTTGCTACTTGCCGATTCAAGGAGCGTGTCATAAACGTTATCACCTTGGTTTAACTTGCTGTTAGACCAAGCTCCATATTGTCTACTCATATTATATCTTTTTCTCCACGCAGTTTGGTTGATTACACTCATACTATTCTTCTCTGTTGTATAGGATTTCATACTGGAATACATCTACAGTATCACATCATTGGAGGACAACCATGTGCTTGAAGCATCAAAAGACCCTGGTGGTGCCAGGGTTATTGAAGCATTTCTCAATTCAAATGCTTCGACTAAACACAAGCGCAAGTTGGTTATCAAGTATGTTATAAGTTTCTTATGTCCCTTCTTGTTATGTTGTATGTATTGATGTTTTATGTCAATTGAAGTTTGATTGTACAACTTCGTCAACGAACAGTTTTATCTTGTCGAAGACTAATTCCCAATGAGCTCTTTAAAGAAACAATCACATAATGAATAGCAGATAGAATATTGTAAGAAAATTGAAATTTCGAAGTCACCGTTGAATGCAAATCTTTATTATCTTTGTTCATGTGAGATAGCATGCCTTACACATTCTCATCCGTGAAGCTTAAAAGGAATATGTTTTTATTTTAATTCATCAAATTTAGGTGTTTGAAAAGTTCTTGATTTTATGGATTAGACTGTAAATTGAAGTCGTAACGACCCGACCTCGCGCTGAAGCCGTTATCTTACGCACTGTCCACTGTGGGAGAGTCTAGACCCATCTTATCCCTCACGGCTTTCTGACGTGTCCCCCAAGATTTGAACCCAAGACCTCCATCATATGAGAGATTTAAGTTGAATCCTGGTACCAATTGGATTACTTCTCAGAGATTCGAAGTGTACTGCGGATTTCTTGTAGGCATTACATGCAAGTTCATGAAATGCTAAGCCTGAAAGTTCCAATGTTCTTAAAATGATACCACAGAAGATCATAGAGGACTTCCATGTGAGATGGCAACTGCCAAGGTGTCAACTGATCCTGAGCAGTATTAAAAAAATGAGCGTTGTTTTGATGAATTAGTGTTTGGTAGCTGAAAGAAGCATATGACATCAACTATTATGTGTTGCAATTTGACAACGATTAGTAAATCCATTAATTTAAGCAATTTTTTGATACTTCTATCAAGTTGTTTTGTATATTATGACCTCCTACGCAATCATTATAATCTGGAAGTTCCCCATGTGAATTGGAGATGACCAAAAAATGTAATTACAACTCAAGGCCCCTTTTCAAACCTCTGCAAACATCTTGAGACCCTTTTCAAGTATTACGTGTGATGAAAATTTGCTTTCTAGTACTCCTCTTAGCTAAATTTAATTTAATGCATCAATTACATTGTAGGGAGTGACGTTAAGTATTAACAGGCCCAAAATGTACTTAAAACTTTTATTTGCTACTAATGTTATATTTTCTAATTATCTATTGATCCAAAAACATGAAGGCTTCGGGGACATTTTGGAGAGCTCTCTGTGTATTCATCTGGTTCATTTACTGTTGAAAAGTGCTTCAATGTCAGCAATTTATCCCTGAGGGAGATAATTGTATCAGAGATATTACCTGTCCAATCAGAACTTTCCAAGACTAAACAGGGCCCTTACCTGTTGAGGAAACTTGATGTTGAGGGGTAAGTTTGTCATTGCTCTTGGTTGTTCCGTTAAGAATTATATTGATAGTATATTCTGTGTTGTAGTCTGGTTTAATTGAATTTAATGAACATCAGCCTTTCAGTGATGATGCTCTTTTATGTCAAGATTTTGAATAATATGGATGGGTACTAGGGACTGGCTTTACCTCCTTTTCTCTTCTGAATTACAGGCCCTGTTAAGGGATGAGTTGGGGACTGCTTAGTTGCTCAATAAATATTGTAATGTTCTAATAAGATTGTCCTCGACGTACTTCCATTTGCGTGATTGGATTTTGCACACTTTGCTTAGCATCCCCCCTACTACTAGAAATTTGTCATTAGTAATTGGTAGAACCCTCCTATAAAAAAAAAAAGTAATTGGTAGAACCCACCTGTAGCAAGGGAAAAAAAATTACACAACAGAATTGCAAAATAGTTTCCAGCAAATGAAAGTATGATTTATTCTGTAACGAACTGAATACGACCTTAAATGTGAAATGAAAATTACTAGTTGGTAGGATTTGAGAGGCCTTCCTCACTTCACTCGCAGTACACGTGAATCGAAAATAATTAAATTCCCATCTTGGCACCCTTCAGATTATTCCAGAAGCTCCTGCCTCACACACCTCTGAACCAACTAACTAATGATTTCTTGTAACAAATTATCCCATGCATCCAAGCTCAGGTACTGCACAGCAGCTAGGTCCATCTACAGAAGCTAAGTGCTTGACCAATTTGTGAAACTAATGTTCAGCCTGTTCAAAGAACCAGTCTCTGCTAATGATGTATGTACGCTGATGATTTTAATTATAGGTGGTGTAAGAACGACCAATAGAATTGGACTTCTGCTTATTACCACTTGAGTGTGACGGGGGTGGGCAGATTGAGTACATTTGTTTTCTCAATTTGAAGGTGATTCCATGATAGGTTTTGACTGCTAGTTGAGCATGTCTCTGGAGGAATTACCTGTAGTGGATAATGCATTATGGGATGTGCTGTAATATCACTTTTTGCAATATAATTTACTGTTTATTACAGAAATAACCAGTGACACTTCTGCTCTACATATGGAAATGCATGAGGCCTACTATGTTCTCTGTACTTTTTTGAGTTTTCCCCCTTTTTTAATGTGTGGATGGATAGCTCCTTTTGGTATTGAGGTGAGGGGAGGGTTTGAGTACATTTTGTTTACCTGGAAAATCCAAAGTATACTCCACCTATGCCCATGAAGGTGAATATTTATGATTGCATACGCAAATTGTATCTGAGGATGTGAGTACAGAAGCTGTGTGAAAGAAGTATATTATCCGTAGCTTGATTTCTTGGTGATTAAAAGAGCTCATCATGGTTTAACAGCTTATGTAGCTGTTAGTAATCATTCTAAATTGTTTGGATTTGTAAAACATGTGATATACATTTGCACCTCTGTTCTTTTTCCTTGTGTTGCTTTTCAGTTTCTCGGCAAAAAATGTAAATATCCTGTGCTTGACACACTAATCACCCATGTCATCAAACATGAAGTAGGCATAGATATTTGATCAGTTTGAGAAAGGCCACAGGGTGGTCTCTCACTCTCTCTCTACGTGGACACCATCATATGATTTTTGTGTTTTTCGTTTATGCTACACAAACACATGATAAAAACAAATATATAATGATGCATACTGCAGGATATCTTAGATGATTTGGTTTTAAAATTTGAACTCTGTATAGAAAAGTATTGTAACTAAACCCCTTTCATTCCTGTTATAATAGGTTTGCAAGAAATCCGGATCAATGGAAATCAAGACAAGCTTCAAAGCAGTCTGCTTATGAAGAGTTTTATGCGGAATTTGGACCAAAGACAACCAAGGCTTCACAAAGTGACAACTTTCTTACTGATACACATATCAAATCACATAAGGAAAAGTTGAAGGGCATGAGAAAAGAGATTGACACTCGTCTGTCCTATGGTTTTGCTCCCAACTCTGGTACCCAATTCTTGGCTCACCCGGGTTCTGGTAAATTAAAAAGTTCAGGCAATAAACAGGTGCCAAAAAGAGCCGGATTTGCCAAAGATGCGACAAGAAATGGTGCTTTTAAAAAGCAAAAACAAAAAGCATAAAATGGAAAATATTAGTAGCACTACAAAGAATGCTAAAAGGGGAGAAATTCTACAAGATGATGAACCGTCTACTGTTGTGAAGGAGAAAAAACAGCACAGGAAGATGCTTTGACAAAATCTTTGCAAAAGAAGCAGAAGGGTGGGATGTTAATCTGATAGTATATTGATTTCTTGTTTTCTTTGATACCGTGGTTTAGTTTTTAGCTTTTACCTCAGATGAGACAGCCTTAATGGACATGGAGACATTATCATATTTTATTATTTTTGTTATCATTATTACTATTACTTTTGTTCTTTGTTTAAATGTAATATGCTATAGAGCTTAGGCAAATTGGATTCAACAGGGAAGAGCTACCTTTGCTGCTATGAAGAGAACTGTTGTATTCTTACATCTAAGTCGGGAATTACATTAAACAGCAAACTGTGACTAAATCAAAACTGGTTGCATTACAAGGTGCGAAAAAATCAGCTTGTCCTCGCAAAAAAGGCATAAACGCTAATGTACAGCAGCTAACTACATCAAATCTAAATGAAAGAATTTGTTGGCAGGTACTCTTCCTTGTCGATTGATTCTTCAGTCATCCTATGGAGGCTTGCACCTGGTATAAGAAAATATGTCTAAGTAAAGCTTCTTATGGAGGAAAAGGCTTGAACATTTTGGGAGTTAGAAGTTACTTATTCTGCGTCGGATTCGATCTACTTGGAGGTACTCTTCGAAAGCTTGATTTCACCTTCTTGAATGGATTTTTCTCATCTGGATGCAAACTTTTAAAAGCTTGTGTAGATGAATCTATGCTTGTAGAGGATGCTTTCGTCTCTACCAGGAGACGGGCTCCTTGCGCTTCATGCAGGTGAGACTGCAGAATCAGCATTAGTGCAAGAACAAAAGAGATCATCATTCTCAAGTGAGACATCATAATTTTGTTCTGAATACTTTGTGCTTTTATTTGGTAAAAAGATGACACTGGAAATTTTGGGATGAGATTTTAAGGTGTGATTAAGTTCTTGTTTTTGAAGTTTATATACCTAAATTTTTTGAAAAATCTTCTGGGAATCCAATGTAAGTCGATCATCATGTGATGCTTCTTTGACTGTATCATGTTACATCTCTGACTTCCATATTAGCTATTACAGTTTCAGTGTGTGGTCATGTGGCTAGGCACGTGATAACTGTGGGAGCTGATACTTTATTGCTGTTCTTTCTGCATATCAGAGATTTACGTGGTTTAGTGACGAGATTGGATTCATTTTCTTCTAATCCCTTTCAGGGTATTATGTATAAAGCAAGAAAAAACAATGGGTTTTAGGCTTTTAGCCAGTTGGCTTTGTTTTCTACCAATTTTTCTTGCATTCAAATTGGATCCACAAGAATGACTTCTTGTTTGTTTATGCATTTGTTTTCTGCTCAGATGCAACTGAAATGGAGATTTGGATATGTGCAGTTAGGCAGTTTGGCTTAGCACATTTAACATTTCGTAATTTGCGACACTCAGTATTTTATATTTAGCCCATGTTTGTCTACAATTATTCCAAAAAATTGTTTGTTACAGTAGGATTCTTCACCACATATTCACCCAATAAAATATTCTACACACAAATCAATAAAGTTACTTTATTTTTCAATCACACATTCTCCAAAAAATACTATTCATTACTCTATTTTTCTCTCAATAATGGGAGACAAATACAACCTTAGTACGAAGTATTAGATAATGCAACAATAGATATCTCCATCGAAGTGTCTTTTTGATTGTCCTTTAATCAAATTTTGACACATAACTATAATTTTAAATTGTCAAAATTTTGGGACAAAATTCAGTCTGTAAGAGACACAAAAAATGAATTGTGCCCCACTAAAATTTGACCCTTCAAAATTATAGTGATGTGTCAAAATTTGATTGGGGGATAGCTAAGGAGAGCGAGATTGGAACAATAGATCTAGACTTTGCATGGACATGTCCAATGTGAGATAGCACATTTAAATTTTCATAATGTGCTACTCACAATATTGTATATTTGATATGTAGGACTAGGCAATGCAATTAAAATGATATAATTTATTTTTCATCGCTAATATTCTCTAGCATGTAGTCTATCTTATCGAACATGTTATATTTGGTACACTAGTTATGGTTGTGTGTGGATTAGTGTTATAAGAAAGGGATTGGTTCAACTGAAAAAATTGGGAACTAGTCTAATTATAAGTTAGATGTCAAAATATCCTATGTGGTATCTTACGTGACATAATTTTAATAATTTAAAAAATGTATAACTTTTAATAAGGATATATCACGTAAGATGTCACATGTGATGACTACTGTAGTTGTTGTCTATGAATATCATTATACTTTCAACTAAGGATATAAATTCAACGATTCAGTAACCACAGTGTAATTATAAATGAGTAAAACAAGAAGATTTGGCCAAGAAAAATCATATTTCATTGAAATTGTGACTGTATAATCATGTGAAAACACAAAAAGAAAAGGTAAGCATTGTGCTTGAGAGACTTGTTTATCATTGTTCAAATAATCAAATCTTCTTCCTGTGTGAAGGCTGCAGTCTTGGAAATGAGAATCTTGACAATGTTTGGCTTATATATAAAGTTTGTCATAAAACAATTGATTAAAACCTTTTTTCAGACTGTTGAACTAAGAAGGGAACCTTGGGATTAGGTGAGGCTAAGATAAATT